TTGTCCGACATTAGGAAAACAAGGAGTCCATTTTGCAATTGATCAAAATGTCCACTTAATAGAAGACTTTTGATCGGTTTAAATTTAGATATGGTTGGATTTTGGATAAAATCAGTTAATGGGTAGTGTCTGACCTCAAGACCATGGAGTTTTATTTATGATTAAATGGATCGGCTGTCTAAAGAATGATTCTGATCAATTAAATCCTTCCTAAATTAGTTGGCTTTGGCAACAATTCTAGTCAGTAGCTGACTTTTAGCACATTCTTCTTTAAATCTCGTTTGAAAGAATAAATTTTCTTCCCCATTGCAATATTTTTTAACATTAAATGCAATATTAGAATAAAGTAAAGAACAACAAATGTTACATTAGTATTAAGATCTATTGCATTGATCCTTTCAGAAAGCACACAAAGGTGTACAGACTGCAGAGACGCTGATGTGGAAGCAGTGATTGGGTACACATTAAAACATGCGCCCGACAGGAGAGTTGGAGGAGGAAGACACTTATTTACATGAATCTCTCTACGAACAATGAATATTATTGCAAACATATTTTCAGACATAAAGTTTCATGGAAAATTTCATCTTTTATTATCTCCTCTTATTTATATTTAATAATTTGAAGTCCTTCCTGCAACCTATTGTGACGTTTATGCATTGGGAAAAACATTGTCAACTTTTCATGGGAAATATGGTGTTCAAATCTTAATTTTAAGACGGGTCACTGGTGTTATAATAGAATATACATTAATTTTGTTAGGGGCTCACTCTCACAGAGAATGAATATGAATATTTTGTTTTTCATACATTTTGTAATTTGTGCATTTGGAATGTTTCATGGTTGCTTTTTTTGTATGTATTTACAAATTAGGCTTTCAATATTTTATTACAATAATTTCTTTGTCAAGTTTTTTTTTCAATTCTTGTTTATTGTAAAATCTTGAAAAGAAAATTAATATTTTGTTTCTATTGCGCATGTGTTGAAATAATGACTTTGATAGAAAATTTACACGTGATAGTTCATATATACAGAAGCTTGTTTTTATTGTCTTTAAGAACAGTTTTGTTATATTTAAACAATGAAGATCATGTCATGAATAATTTCTTTTGTCGCTCCTGTCATTTTTGTAAATTTGTTTATTATTGTCATGATACATATATAATTTTTTGTGCAGTTATGCTATAAATAAAATTTGTAAGAGGAACTATATTTTGATTTTTCTTATTACTTTTTAATACTTCAAAGTGTCTGCAATGTAATCTATCTGAAGTCAGATTCTGACTAATATATGACGAAAATCAGACGTAAAATACTGACATAATATAGATGTCAGACATTTACGTCAATATTACTTTCATTTCTGACCATTATTTGACGTAACCTTGACGTCAGGATTAAGTCCAGATCTGACGTAAATTTGACGTAAAATGCCTGCTGGGAAAGGAGCTAAATGAGGCAATTTACTCATTGTAAATTATCAAGCCATTGCTTCAAATTTGATGATTTGTTGAATTTATCATTGTTTCACATCATATTAAAAGCAAAGGTCAATTAAAAATGAATCTTGGATCCGTGAACAGTATTTGATTAAGCATACCTGGGATTTGAGACATGCAATTTGATACAATTAGGAAAAGTTTATTCTAAACTTTGAACTAGTGTTTTTTTTAAAGAACTTGAAAAATTGACCTGTTAAATGTAAATCAAAAAGTCTAAGGCTTCACCACTGTTTTAACGTTTTTAAAGGCAGTTATCTAGAATACATGCACAAGTTCAGGTTAAGTCATAATATTTGAATAAACATACCCAGTTACAAAGAACAACAAGAAGACAGACATCAACAGTTAAATCAGAAACATTTATTTAATAACATTACAATTGATCATGACAACATAGCAGTCAATTATCTCGCTTTCCCTGAACAGACATTTTACGCTCTTCCAAAACCAAAAAATCGAACAGTTCATTACAGATGGAGATTGACTTCTTAACAGATTGAGTGGTCACCAATATTTGGCTACCTTGAAGGGAGATAATACACCCAGTAGTTATTTGCTGTGCACTTCGCTGTTCGTTTGTTAGTTGTTTAACATCCTATCAGCAGCCAGGGTCATTTAACGATGTGCACCTTAAGTTATATGTTTTATATGCGATAAAATTACTCAAATGTATGTAAGAAATAATTTTTGATCCGCCAATGAGATGATCTTCTACTAGACTTTTCAGTAAGTAAATTAATTTTTTGAGACATGTAGATACAATGTACAGAATTTGTTGCAAAAAAAGATAATAAAAAACCCCATGAAAATTCAATGAAAACTTCATGAAAATACCTCAAATTAATGAAACAGCGATAAATTATTGTGCAAGTTTATTTCACTGGGTCTAAGAAAATTTCACTGCTTTGAATTTCTCATGTTATTGCAAGGAAATATTTATTACAGTGTAAAAATTAAATCATTGTCCTTACGATGTTTGCAACATTACAATTTCATTGAAATATTCACAGCAATGGAAATACCAATGTTGCTTCTTTCTGCACATTGCCTCATATTTCTGAATTCATGACAATGAAATGAGGATTTTATGACGTTAACTTCTGCTTACAAAGTTTAAACACTTCAGAATAAATCAGTTTCCTCAACACCATACAAACAATACTCATTTCAATGAATTACAGCATTCTGAAACATTTTTTTTATACTAACAAAATTAAATCAAAACAAATTCCTGATCATATAACCAGCTAGCTTGTGCATATAGGTTGTATATTAATTTGCGACATTCTGTGAATACATATACAGAAAATTGTATGCAACATCAACCCAGTTATCTTCCGTAACTTATAAACAGCCAATCGGCATCAATATCAAAACAAACACATGATATATTTGTTTTTGGAGGGAATCACATCCGGATGCATTCATGTCTTGTTTTCTGTTCATATTTTGGTGAGACATGAAATTTCATAGTGCTGAAAAATGCTCCCTTTTAGGGTGTAATTAAATTTCTGTGAACATTTCATTGTATTTTCATGGTGTAAACCATATGAAAACACAAAATTACAATCTGACAATAGCAAATGATGTCAAATGAATGACAATTACATTCAGACTAAAATGAATAGTTTCTCTACTCCCAACTGCTCATAAGCCATTGGTAAAGCATGATCTCTTAAGTTATGGATAAACATTTATCCCTTTCAAAACATGGATGGGAACGTTTATTCATGACTCTAAGAGGCAATGCTTTATCCTAGGCATTTATGTGAGCTAAAAAGAACATAAAACATGAACGTGTCGAAATACTGTTACTTTATTGCAGCACAAAAGGCTCATCAGCCTTATCGGTCACCTGAGTTTGAAAATTAGTGTACTATATATAATTTTGGAAAATAGCAATTGATTCATCTTAACTGGAACTTTTATACCAAATTTCATCGCAATTGGTTTCTACTTACCAAAGTTATGGTAGTCACAAGGATCACTGATAATCAAGTTCACAATGTCTAACTTTACACTATTTTTTTCTCTTTTTAAGTTCTAAGTACAGTAAAATTGCAAAGGGCAATAATTCTGGAAATAATCTCTAAATTGGTCTGAATTATCAAATTTGTCCGAGATAATATTACTATAAAGCTGCATACAAAGTTTCTTCCAAGTAGTTTGTTTTTACTTGCATTATTGTGTTCACAAGGTCAAAGTATAATTCAACTATAAAGGGGAATAACTTGTAAATAATTTTTAAATCCGTCTGGTTATCAAACTCAACTGAGACCTTATTAATATAAAACTGCAAAACAAATTTCATAAAAATTGGTTCAAAATTACTTAAATCATGTTCACAAGCTCAAAGTGTAATAAACCGCATGGGGACTAATTCTGTAAATAATCATTGATTCCATCCCTTTATAGAACTCGTCCAAGATCTTATTGATATAAAGAGGTATACATAGTTTCATCAAGATTGGTTCATAACTACTTAAGTTATCCTGTTCAGGTGACCTAAAAAACCTAAATGGACTAGCATTATGTCCTCAAGACATCTGACCAACACAGAAACTTACAACTTTCCAAAACAGAACCCAGAAGTACAAACTTTGTTGTCATCAAGATAATTTTTTTTCTTCTATCATTATATTACAACTTGGATTAAAATATCTTCATGGGAAGCCATAGTGCCAATTGCAAATAATCGTCAATACAACAACCCAAACACAGAAGTAAAAAAAAATCAGTAATCTGTATTAGAATGCATTATAAATGTTACATTAGGAAGCACCAAGACCTTTCAAATTATGTAGTCAAGTGATGATTCCTTGCAAAATAGTCATAGTATTAAACAGCTACGAGTGGAAATTGTCAGATCTTCTGTTTTCTGTGCCAAAATAGAAGTAACTAGAGTTGAAAATGCCTCTCCATTACCTCCGAGGTCTTAGCTGAAGTTTTCACATATTGTACAGTGAATTGCTTCTAAGTAAGAAATTAGTTTATCCACTCCCAAATCACACATTTTCCAATAACAAGTTCGGCTGCCATTTTCTCCCAAAGAAGTTATTACTTCTACCACACACAAGTTCAATTACCTCATAATGTAAAGACACAATTCTTATAATGTAGGTACATGTAATTTTTAATTTGAAAACACAATTTTTGGATCTCTCAGTTGTTTAACTGAATATAAATGGAAATGATTAAATTATTTACAACAACACTGCAATCCTTTGTTCAAAACCCATCATTTCATCCATGACCTAAGAGTTAACCTTGCATCCACAACATTTGAGTTAATATTGTAACCACGACTAAGAGTTAGCATATTATAACTGACACGAAACTTTATATTGTGTACCTGACCTGAGAGTTAACTTTGTCCATGACGAAAGAGTTAACACATTAACCCTAACACAATCTCAATATTGTATCCCTTACATTGCTAACCCCAACACAAGTAATGTTCAACAATTTGTATTCTAACACATTAAAAGAAATGCTACATTAAGGAAGCACTAAGACCTTTCAAATTGTGTAGTCAAGTGATGGTTCCTTGCAAAATGTTATAGTATTAAACAGCTACAGTGAGTGGAAATTGTCAGATCTTCTGCTTTCTGTGCCAAAATGGTAGTAACTAGAGCTGAAAATGCCTCCTCAACACCTTCTGAGGTCTTAGCTGAAGTTTTCATATATTGTACACAGTGAGTTGCTGCTAAGTAAGAAATTAGTTCATCCACTCCCGAATCAACAGAAATGTCACATTGGTTACCAACAAATATCACTGGCACATCTTTAATCCTTCTTATAAATGCCATATCTTTTTCTACGTTCTCAACTGATATTTCTTCATGAAGATTGAATATATACAAGATTCCATCAGCTTTAACAATATTCTGCTGTCTCATAATGCTGAATTCATTCCTACCACTTGTATCAATCACTTCAATTGTACAACTTACACCATTAACTACACATTTTTTAGTGTACAAGTCTTCAATTGTAGGGTATATGTCTTCCACAAAATAATTCTGGACATATTGAATACACAAAGCACTTTTTCTCACACCAGAACTTCCAATAACAACAAGCTTAAGTTGGGCTGCCATTTTCTCTCAAAGAAGTTATTACCTCTATCATGCAAGAGTTCAATTAGCTTATAATGTAAAGACACAATTCTTATAATGTATGTACATGTAATTTTTAATTTGAAAAAATTATAATTTGTTTATCTCTCAGTTGTTTAACTCAATATAAATGGAAATGATTCCTCTGCAATAATTAATTATTTACAGCAACATTTCAATTCCTTTGTTCAACATCCATCATTTCATCCGTGACCTACGAGTTAACATTGTCTATGGCCTAAGAGTTAACATTGTGTCCGTGATCTAGGAGTTAACATTGTCCGTTATCTAAGAGTTAACATTGTGTCCGTGATCTAAGAGTTAACATTGTCTGTTATCTAAGAGTTAACATTGTCCGTGATCTAAGAGTTAACATTGTCCATGGTCTAAGAGTTAACATTGTGTCCGTGATCTAAGAGTTAACATTGTCCATGGTCTAAGAGTTAACATTGTCCATGGTCTAAGAGTTAACAGTGTCCATGGTCTAAGAGTTAACATTGTCATGGTCATGGTCTAAGAGTTAACATTGTCCATGTCTAAGAGTTAACATTGTCCATGTCTAAGAGTTAACATGGTCTGTGTCCATGGTCTAAGAGTTCACATCTGTGTCCGTGATCTACATTGAGTCTAAGAGTTAACATTGTGTCCATGGTCTAAGAGTTAACACTGTCCATGGTCTAAGAGTTAACACTGTCCATGGTCTAAGAGTTAACATTGTGTCCATGGTCTAAGAGTTAACATTGTGTCCGTGATCTAAGAGTTAACACTGTCCACGGTCTAAGAGTTCACACTGTGTCCGTGATCTAAGAGTTAACATTGTCCATGGTCTAAGAGTTAACATTGTCCATGGTCCATTGTGTCCCGTGATCTTAAAAGTAAACATTTACAATGGTCTAAGAGTTAACATTGTGTCCGTGATATGAGAGTTAACATTGTCCATGGTCTAAGAGTTAACATTGTCCATGGTCTAAGAGTTAACATTGTGTCCGTGATCTAAGAGTTAACACTGTCTATGGTCTAAGAGTTAACATTGTCCATGGTCTAAGAGTTAACAAGAGTTAACATTGTCCATGGTCTAAGAGTTAACACTGTCCATGGTCTAAGATTTAACATTGTGTCCATGGTCTAAGAGTTATCACTGTCCACGGTCTAAGAGTTCACACTGTGTCCATGGTCTAAGAGTTAACATTGTCCATGGTCTAAGAGTTAACATTGTGTCCGTGATCTAAGAGTTAACATTGTCCATGGTCTAAGAGTTAACATTGTGTCCATTGTGTCCATGGTCTAAGAGTTATCATTGTGTCCATGGTCTAAGAGTTAACATTGTCCATGGTCTAAGAGTGTCCATGATCTAAGAGTTAACATGTGTCCATGGTCTAAGAGTTAACATTGTGTCCATGGTCTAAGAGTTAACACTGTCCATGGTCTAAGAGTTAACATTGTGTCCGTGATCTAAGAGTTAACATTGTCCATGGTCTAAGAGTTAACATTGTGTCCGTGATCTAAGAGTTAACAGTTAACACTGTCCGTGGTCTAAGAGTTAACATTGTGTCCATTATCTAAGAGTTAACATTGTGTCCATGGTCTAAGAGTTAACACTGTCCATGGTCTAAGAGTTAACACTGTCCATGGTCTAAGAGTTAACACTGTCCATGGTCTAAGAGTTAACACTGTCCATGGTCTAAGAGTTAACATTGTGTCCGTGATCTAAGAGTTAACACTGTCCATAAATACTGACACAAATCTTAAGATTTTTCCATGATCTAAAATGTTACTATTTCATCCATAACCTAAGAGCATATAAACATTGACACAAATCTTAAGATTTTTCCATGATCTAAGATGTAACTATTTTATCCACGACCTAAGAGTCAACATTGTGTTCAGGATGAAAGAATTAACATATAAAACTCAACACAAATCTTTCATTGTGTGCATGACCTAACATTTAACATATAAACACCGATACAAATCTCAACATTCCTCCATAACCCTTTCTCCATAATCCAAGGTAAGTGTTACTACTTTATCCATGGCCTAAGTGTTAACATATTATAACATTTTTCAATGACCCAAGATATTACTATTTCATCCATGACCTAAGAGTTTCTGATAGTTCATTTCTGATAGTCCATCGTTATCCTGTAGAGTACTTGGCATTTTTTAGCAGCATGTTTGAAACCTTCTTCTTTAATGTATCCCATTTTCTTCGGTGTAATTCTCCTTGGTTTTCTGCACTTTTCTTCACTGCCAGAAGACAGTGTTGTTGCGAAGGGCAAGTTTTTTTTATGGTCCCATCAAAATATGAGGAGAAGTATTTCTTGATCTCATTTTCTTCAACCTCGGTCCATTTCACTCTTACTGCCAATTGCAGTAAAAAAAAAAAAAAAAAAAGAAAGTCAAAAGCATTTTCATGTATGAAAATAACTGCTATAAGAATGTTTTAAGGTTTTAATTTGGAATGGATTTGGTAGACAACACACTTTTAATGACAGTGAAACAGAACTCTCAGCAGGATGACTTACCAAATGGATAAAGATCAAACAACCTTCACCCTGGACCATTCATTGGTCACTTGACATAAAATGCCATTACAAAGTGTTCACAATGAAAGCGAACAGATCTCAGAGTTGGTCCTTAGATTATTATAAGCAACAATAACCATTGCACATCTGCACATGATAGCATAGAAAGTTCAAAACAATGGAGTTCAAGATAATCTAAACAGGGCCAAGGGGGCTTAATTGTCATCTGACCAAACTCCTGTGACCTTAAAGTATGCAAAGGTCATTGATATGAGGAAACTTTGTAGCACTCCAGCCTCGGTACCTACTACCCATATATAATTACCCTGGGCCTTTTGGTCCATGAGAAGATTGTTAAAGGTTTTACATATTTGACCCCTGTGACCTTGAAAGTAGGTCACGAGCATCCATACAAGTAAAATTTGTAGCACTCCATCCCTGGGTCTTTCGGTTATTGAGAAGATGTTTAAGTAAAAAGTTAACGCACAGCAGATGCAACATAGTTCATCTTGACCTTTCGGGTCAGATGACCTAAAATTGCTGACAGATTATGAAAGGGCACTAGCACAATCATGTAAGAGCAGCACATGTTTGGTTGAAATCTGATATCATATATATTTGAATTACTTAAAGGAAATTACAGACTTTCATGATTTTTGAACTCCTATAAATGTCAACGGATTTCATTGACATAAAGCATTGATACTGTATATCAAGTGGATATCTGGTATTAATTATTGAATATTTACCTTTCTGTGACTTCTTTTTCTGTGGTTGTTCACTAAAGGAATCTACCATGCCAGATAGTTCCCAATCTGTTTGGTTAAGAGAAGAGAAGGGGAAATCAGTTAGCTACAAACTTTTTAACATCTTTTTTTTTTTTCATTGGTCTAAAGTCTAAAGAGGAGAGGTTTAATTGTGGGGCAGTTCTGTTCACAGGGTGTTTAAAAGTCTCCATATTGGATTTTTTGTTGCAGGAAACAACAATTTAACCATTAAATCCAAATCATGAAGAAAAACTATGAATAAATAATTTATCGTATTGCGTCATATGGATTTATTTCAAATTAAACATCACTTTAAAAATGTTGTTTCTTCTGTCATACAACAGTGCACAATACTCATAAAAGCTGATTACTTAAAGCAATACATTCAAATTTTCCAAATAAACTCAAAAGTCATAGATTTTATAATTTGTGTTAGCCTGTGGAACCTCTGGCAAGACTTCTTCAGATGTCATTTGGTTTATCACGTCAAGATTTAATTAAATGGACCAATGTCAGCACCTAGGGATTTTCTAAATAAGCATCAGTGGGGCATGGCCCAGTCGAAATTGGCAAAATGTTTTGAGGATATCATGTGTACAGTGTGTACACAGCTCTTCTGTAATGACCCCTACTATAATTATACAAATATTGCACCTCACTCAATTGACTAAATGAGATTCAATTTATGAATGTAAAGAACATAACTGATAATTTCCATGTCAGATTTGGCCGTTTCATTAATTTGTGCCGTAATGTGAAATTTGACATGATTTTGACCATTGTATGGTCAAGGACATCCATTTAACTTTGCGGTGTACCAAATGTACAGAAATGCACGCATAATGCCCATCAAATTATTATCAGTTTCCATTTCATCAATCTATTTTACAACAAAGGTGATCAGATACATGGCTTGGTCCAAATACTTTTTCACTGATAACTTGTTAACACATATAATCAACTCTGCCTTCTAGTTTCTACACATGGTAATTTAATGCCAGTACTGCTATGTAAATCTCGAAAGCATACCCCAGTACATATATGTTAAGTTCGTATCACTTAACTTTTTATGATAATTGAAAATGTGGGGAGGCGAGAAAAGCAATACGAACCATCAAGATGGGAATCTGAAGCAGTTGCATCGGTGTCTCCTCCCTTGCTCTCATGGATAGACTCTTCAAGTTCTACAGGTAACAAAATATCAAGTTCCATTATAAAATTCTAGTACTATCAACTTATTGTTCTGTATCTATTAAAGACAAAAATATCCTCATATTTGGAATATTGTACAAGGCATACAATATT